TCTTCTTGCAAGCCTTCTGGGCCCAAAAAGAGTCTGATGGCCGGAGGTCCCAATTTTGTAAAAGTGAAAACTGCAGAGTATATATGCATCCTATGGGTAAATTTATCATTACACCAAAATTCTGCATGCGTTTAAAAACAAAGCCAACGGAAGTACATCTAACGTATTGGGGACCTCTGGCTCTGGGGAGAAGTGGAGAAGGGTAGACCATGCCAGAAGTTTTAAAATGGATCAACCCTGGTGTGTAGCTAGCAAGCAATAACTGACTACTTGTCACTTACAGTTGCACTAAATGTATCTAAAGAAACACACAGCCCTACAAAAATTGTTCTTAGAGAATTATCGTTGAGATTGGGGTGCTTCTTCCCAGTTCACTAAAGTCTATATGATATAAGCACAAATTAACAGCTTGATGAAGACAATCTAATGTAGCTCTTGAGAAATCTAAGCCTGGGAAGGTGTCACCCCTCACATTCTACAATGGTGTAGTTTTCTATTTTTAATTTTTTTTGAAGTAGATGTTATCTGAAACATATTTACAACTGAACTCAACAGAGACTGTGAAACTGAACAGGCACTGGTCATTTTTTTAAAAATTTCTCTCACTTTTTTTTCTTTTTGGTAAACATTTTTTTTGCTGGTTTTTTTTTTGTCTCTCTCTCTCTCTCATTTTGCATCAACTTTTCATGAGTCCATGCAACTTCAATGCCCTCTATGAAGAATGCATAATAAGCCATACTTCTTTTTTATTTTTAAAAAAGTCCTTCTGCATATAGATACACATTTTGCCACATCAGTCCCTGTAGCACAGTTTTCAAAACCATTCTGTCAAAAATACAGTAATACAAAGACTGGATTCAGTGGCACTGGCTCTCGCTGCCGTCCGTCGCTTTTTGCTTGCTGCGTTTGTTTTGGGTCTTCCTGGAAAGATTTTGAGCACTAAACGCAACGGAGGCCTGAATGAGCGTGGAGGGTGGCGAGTGCCACTGAAGCTCCTTTCACAAAGTCAACATACATTTTAATTGCAACACACAGATAATCCTAAGGAGTAATAACTAGTGAACCCTTTTATTATATATATAAAAAAAACTACTTACAACCATTGAGGAAAAAAAATTGCAACAAAAATGTATAAATTGACCATCTCCTGCTTTGTCCCCTTTGCTATTAACAAATGTGACCAATAGAGCTGTGGCATGGAAACAGTACAAGAGTTGTCATGGCAATAGGTTTGGCTGATGCAAGGATCATTGTGCTGGGTCAAAGGGCAAACCCAGTGGTCCGTGTTATCCTCTGACTGTGGGGCTCCAACACACCCACAACGTTTTGAGGAGATAGAAAAAAAACAGGGGAACTCTCAGAAAGTGCAAATATGAAGGAGGCAGGTTTCAGCTCCTTCCCCATGGAGTAGGACATTCAATTTTGAGCTTTCTCTGTTCAACATTATTTGCCTGCATTGTTTTTCGTTTAGCATCTTTTATAGAAACCCAATAAAAAAATAAAAGCCTAGGAAGCATGCAGCTGGCAAATGTTAACAAAAGACCTTGGCAGAAACATGTAAACTAGAATCAATGTCATGCTGGAGGCATTACTGCCAGCACGTGTGTAGAGATTTATTTATTTTTTTATCAAGGGTGAATACTGTACATCAAATGTGGGATGCAGCCTTCACAATCTCACACAGCATACAAAATTTAGAATGACTCAGATACAGGACACACACTGTTGACAGAGCTCAGTATATCCTTGTGCAATCTCATTCAGTAAGTCCTTACGAAGCTCCTAATTGCAAATCCAAATTTTTGCTCCCTGAGGACACTGCTAGATGAGACATAAGTACTGTTTTCATTTTTCTTTCACTGAAATTCTCTCCTGGATGCTCTGTGAACCTGCTCTTAAATACCATCATGTAACAATCACAACATTTTTGCTAAAGGCCATATATACTAATAAAAAAAGACAGTGGTGCTTCCAACATTCTGAAATGCTCCAAAACCCAACTTTCCAATACTAAATACAACAAAATAACCTTCATAAAATATAACTTTTCTCCATTTACAATTTCTTTTAAAAGGATCAGTAACCTATGCTTTTCAAGCATAGTGAAATATCTCGTTAACATGGACAGATTTTTTTTTGTTTGTCTTAATACATAAATTAAGAAACTGGAGAGTTTTAACCCAAGTCCAGTTTCCAAACAAGGAAGATTCTTGTTTACGTTAGAAGTGGAAATGACATCCATTTCCATTATAATTGCTAAAAATTAGCTTTACAAACGAGGGTGCTTTAAAAAAAATCTTAACAAAACTATACAGTGTACAAATTACTGTCTACACGCTAGGTGGGTTCATTAAGAAGATCCTCCGTTCTTCTCTTCATTGCAGCTTCACAGGTTCATTCACATATTATAAATGGAGCTGCCCACCTGAACACACAACTATATTGCTATATTTAATATTTTGCCATGTCTATGTACAGTCTCCTTCACTGCCTTTTTTTCCTTAGTCAAGCCTCAACTGTTCATGTCATTCTAGGGGAAAATACACTTCAGTGACACTGCCAAGGGGTAAAGGCTGCAAAGCAATTGAAAAAAGGCAGAACAGTGCACATAGAACGGGGTGACTTGATTTTTGTCAGAATATACTTCCTGATCAAGGAGGGGTTAGATTAGATTTAGAGTTTGTAACACTTCGTTCTGCACTGGAATTCTCAGCTCTGAGAGAAGTGTAGATGTGGATGACAATAGATCTTTTGATTACAAAGAGAGGCAGAAAAACCCACAGAGAGCATTATCCTGAAAATTTTGTCAGAATTATGGCTCAAATGGTCAAGAAAGTGGATCCAAATTAGCAAGATAGCCTTTTATAAATATTTTCCTTTTATGAAAAAAAACCCCATCCATTTGATTGATGTATTCATTAGGCCAGGATTATTATGAAATTGAGTTGCAACTGTTCTCTATCAAATTCCGCTTGTCCATTATACTATTGCACTTTAAAGTCTGAATTCATCTTGGTTTCAGTATTCCAAATGAAATAAATTATTTCTGGATTAAGTGGCTGCTGCACTCCAGCCATTTTTAATGAAACTGTCCCTCATTAAAGGATAAACTGAAAGAACAGTGCATCATTTTGTGGGCCACCAACTCTCAGTGTTTATACATTTCAGTTCTTCCTAACAGTCATATATTTAGTGAATTAATTCACTTACAAAGGGGCTCAGAAAAAGAGCTAACATATAGTTGGTTTCATTCTTACTTTAGCTAAATACAAACCTTACCAACAATCCTAGAGCTTTACAACTGCCCTTAGACTTTACAGAAGCAACTTTCTCAAAAAGGCATTTATTGGTGTGGGTCGAACCTGAAAGGGAATTTGATTCTCTTTCAGCATCAATAATTCTCAGCACCATTTTAAAGAAGGCTGCACCTAGTAAAATACCAACTAATTCAGTGGCAATGCAGGTGGAGATTGATTGACATATTGCACCTAGCACAAAAGGCCATGGTCAAAACAGAAGATCGGGATTATTTTTATTATTTTATGGAGCAACCCTGAGCACTGCTTATTTCTAGTTGGGAGAAGTGTTCTGAAATACTGCTCTGGAAAAAAAAAGTGAAAGTTCACCTGAATTTATAAAGGTGTATGAATTGCCTATCAATTTATGTTTGCTGAAACTAAAGGCAAATAAAAATTGTGTGTTAGTTTACAAAGAGACTGAGCACTTCCTTGGGTTTTAGTTTGTATTTTCAGTACAGATTCCAAGGACAAAATACCTACATCCATGCCACTTATGAATACTAACATTGGACATACACTTACATTCATTTCTATCCTGGAGACAGCATGGGATTATGTTGGCTGGTTGGTTTTCTTTCACTGCTGTGCATTCTCTCAATTAGAATCCAGACAAATATACCATGTCTCCATAAAGTGTTATTTTTTTAAAAAATAGATTGTAAGACTACATCATTTTCATTTTTACCTAATCTAAGCTTTACAACTAGTTATTTAGAAAAGAGCTAATCTTTGTAAAAACATAAAAATAAGACTGACTACTCTTGTGTTCTTGTCAGTACTAGAAACACAGTGTGGAAATAAACAATTTAATAGTGCTAGTTTTGTGCAAGGGGGCTGTGATCCCATAGAATCACCCTTTATCCAGAGAAGAAAACTTTTATAATTAAGCCATCAGATCCGATAGTTTTCTATATTACTAATTTTAATTTCTATCCAGGTTGTCCACAAACACATGGTATGTGTGCATTTTTGTGCTTGGCGATTTGTACTGACATATAGAAGCATAGATCTATATGGGAGAAGGGTTATAGAATGGATCTGATCCAGCAAGACAATCCACTGACAGATTAGTCATTGACTGATCCAGTCCTTCATTGCCACCTGACCTCTTACAATGGAAATCAGTGACGTTGGGGAATGCAGAAAAGGGAGGCAGAATCTCATTTCTTGTAAGAGGACAAAGGATACAACAGTATCATGGAATTCCCACAGAAAATGAATACTGAATCCAATTCAATATTTAGTATACAATTAGCATCTCTGGAAAATGTTTTGTCACGTAGCATGTACTGTTTTGGTAGTGTATGCTATGTGATTTTTTAAATCTCAAACTGGGCTTTTATATGATGGATGTCTAACTTGCAAAACTTTACAGGGCTTTTGATCTCTGTGGGTCTTGAGATTTTTTTTTTAAGTAGATATTTCTTTCTCAAATCAGGTCTGCCTGCAATAAAATCCATTCCGATTTATTTTTCATTATTATTATGCCTGTTTTCAAACCAGAAATGATTTCAGCTTGCACCCCAGGTGGAAAGTTTAAAAGAAAATACCTTTTTAGGTTTTTTGTTTTTACATCACAGTAGGAAGAAGAGTTGCTTTGTAGCCTTCACCCAGCCAATGCTCTGCTTCACAGCTACACTGTCAAGTGTTAAAAATCCTCCCCACCCACCCCAGAATATATAGATATATGTACGTAGTTTTTAAAAAAATCCCCCGTCCATCTCTTAGTACACAAAAAGGACCTCATCACACTGCAAAAATAGCAGTACCCACTTTGGTCAATTAAAACAAACAAACAAACAAACAAAAAAGCATACATTAATCTTTTGTCTTTTAAATCTGTGTACTTACCTATAATAACCAATACAGCTAAAAGCACTACCTACATAGGCAAAACTTGGTATTGCATAAGTCGTATAAATTTGAATCCCCTCCCCCCAATATTAATTGGAAGATGAAAAAACATGAAAGATTAATAGAAAAAACACCAAAATACTGAAAATATTGCTGGTCGATTACAATTTTTAAGCGGCAACTATACACAGCCATGATATGCTTTATAAATGTGAGATAAAGTTATAACTGCTTAAAAAATCCATGATGTCACTTTTGTTGTTGTTTTCCCATCTGGAGTACAAAATATTTTGTCATAAAAATGGTACAGATTTAAAATGATAATAAATGCAGCAAAATAAGTGTAGTGATGTCACTTTTTTAGATTTCAAGGCAAGGCACGTTATGTGGACATTATAACTTCGTGCAAATTAGGATTACTGGATAGAGTAGTTTTAAATTATTCTTTTATAGAGACATAGAGGCAAAATGCCCATGCACAATATTGTGTATATGAGAAATCTGTCAAACAAGGCTAATTTCTGAGAGCACCATGCAAGTTTTCAGCACCCTGTCATTAGGCTTTTTAAAGAGTGCATTTTTAAAAAATATATTTCAGATCCCCTTCCCACAACCTGACAATCTATCATTCCCATTTGTAAACCAGAAGCTATGCCCCTGTGACATGGATTTACCTCTCTCAGTCTCTCTCATGAAGGTTCTAGAGAACCTTTTCCATTATTTATGGGTTCTTGATCCAACCAGTAACTTTAAATAAATAAGATACCTCAAAGGAGGCAGAAGCTAAATCAACTTTAAGTGCTGTGTTTCAATTAATTTCTTTTTCTCAAGTAAATGATTTGTCTTGATTTAGTTAATGCCTTTTAATGACCCCTCCCTTTCAAAAGTGAGGGAAAAATACATTTGTTCGAATACTTTTGAAACTTATCTTGTCTTTTAATCCCCTCGATTTAGAGTCCAAGGGCTAAAGGACTTATAACAATTATCCCCTTTAGATACAGGTTTTAAATTGCACTTGCCTCTAATGTTTTCATTAGCATGGGGAATTATTTTAGTGTCTTTCTCAGGTTTTTTAAACTGTCATTTGAGACGATAACACTTTCTTTTACGCAAAGTAAGGCATTGATTTTATAGAATGCCTGCTTATTTAAACGACTTCCTGAAAAATTCAAACTGGATAACACACTAAGAAAAGACTGGGTTAAGGACCTAAGTTAAATAAATTGGGGTTGACAACTAAAAGCTGAATTTGTTTCTTTTTCTTTGAATTTTGTTTTTTAGAAATCAGACTGCTAAGGAAAAAAAATGGCTTCTGGCCTTCCTTCTCCTGCAGTTCTGTGGATGCCTCCTAGCCTTTGTTTTGAGAGCTAACTAGGAATAGTGATCCCATGCGTAAACAACAAGAATACTAAACCAATAAACTAGCTTATCATGCAAATATTAAGGCATCTAGAAAGTCAGTTAAAATATATTGTCAGAGACAGAACATCTATTTCCCAGTGGATTTCATAGAACAAAGGCTACTCAGGAGGAGCATCTTTCCACGCATCAGTGAAATATCATCGATCCTCTCCCCCAATCCCGTTTTTTGTTGTTGCTGTTGTTTTGCCATTACAGTTTCAATCTTAAGGGAATTAATGATTGTAAGTGCTGCAATTGCTGGTTTATGTTTCTTCTTTCTTCAGTTTCTTCTTTGCTTTTTGTCCCATCTTCCTTTCTTTTATAGTATTTGTTCAGTTTCAATCTCTCTCAGTTGCTTGTTTCTGCTTGAAGAAAAGGCTCTCCAATTATGTTCAAACCATAATTTTGGACATTTGTGGGCAGAATTGATGTCCTGTTTGATACTTGAAAGGGGACCAAGCTAGCCCAGGTACCAGGACTGTTAAAGGAAAAGAAAAAAGAAAGCAGAAAAACATTTAAATGTTGAATGAATATCTGAATATATGAAAGCCACCCGACCTCATGTTTGAACAATAATTCTAATAGCACTTTTTAACTTCAACGTGCAAATAGAATATTATACAGTGACTGATTGCTCTTATCAATTTAATCCTAAAACTAGCTGTGGCAAATGAATAAGTGCTTACTATAGGCTGCTTTCTGCCATTTAACACAACACTTGATGCTTGCAGAGTAGAATATTATTCCTATCAGCACAAGCTTCTCTTAATAACAGCGTTCACATTTAATATCCAGGTATAGAGAAAAATGTTTTTTTTATTCTTTTCCTTTATTAGGGAGACTATTCAATGAAAATGAATTGTAATCAGCAACAAACAGGATTCTTGTTGCAGCGTAACTTGACAACTTTAACATTTGCCTAAGTATTTCAAACTGCCCACCATATTCTAATTGTGTTAAAAAGGTCCACACAAAGTATTTATCAGAGTTATTTATGAATCTTTGGGGAATGGTACAACTCTCATAAGTTATTGTTATGCAAATCCACAAGATTTTTACAAGCCTCCATCTAGCTGTATATTGATTAGGTTAAAAAATACACAGCATTAGCCTTTGTATTATAACTAGGTTTATACACTTATAGAGGAAATAAATATTGCTTTAAAATGTAAAATAGTTGCTGAGATAGATAAATATTCAGATTAAATGAACTGGTAGATTGAGATTCATGTTCTGCACTACATTTTTTTTACGACCCTGTAGTCCCTTAAGTACATAATATAACTGGTATGCATAAAATTACTTTAAGAAATTATTTATTCTTGTTGTTGCATCTATATGCATATAACATTTGCCATAAAGATGCAACAGTAGCTTCCCTCCACCAAGTGATCCACACATATTCTGCTAATTGTAATTCATATGATCACTATAGCCTTCAAAGGCTAAATATTTCTCTTGGCCACTAATGGAACTGAAAAGACCAAACATAAAAATTGTGTTGTTTTCTGCAGGAACTGATCTCATGCAGGAGTGACAGAAGCGCAAAGAGTAGCATTAAATTAGTTGTTTTAAGACAATGTTGTTGTTTTTTACCTGGGGAATTTTTTTTATTAGTACTTTGTGGCAAATATAATGTAAAGCGGACTTAAAATATTTCTAGTCTAGAAGTCTTACAGAAACTAGACAACACCATTCATGCCCAGTTAAGAAGACCAACTTCACAGAACTGCTCTGATATTTTTTCAGGTTAAATAAATCTTTTGATTTTTACTACTATTGTAATAACAAATTTTAACAGTTTTGTGAAACATGTAATAAGCTGTTAATAAGAAATTGAAAGAACGTTATCTATAAAGTTATTAAGGAAAATTATTGACATGCTGTTATTTAACTTGCAGATTCTTTTCAGCCACTGATAAATTATGCTAGCCCCAAGTCATATCTGAGACAATGCCTCAGAACAGGAGACCTGTTTTTTATATGACTTAAGAACAGTATATGCCTTAAGAACAGATGCAGCACGCATTGATGCCTGGATCAAAAGTAAGCCATTACTTAATTCTAATAGAAGTTGAAATTTGTCCATCATCTTTACATTTTTAATTTAGTGATATACATACATACATACATACATACACACACACACACACACACACACACACACATATATTTACTTATTTGCCCATTATGCTAATACATAACATTATGCAAAGCAAAGGAAACAAGAATAAAACAAAATAAATTGAGAGTAGAACAGAAAATATTTAATTTATATGAACATTCACTATTTTCTATAACTTTCTATCCTTGCAAGCTATCTTTGCTTACACCACATCTATACACTGATTTATACATTGCCTTTTATTCTTTTAACTTCTGTTCTAGGTCTGAGAACACCATAAAATTCAATCAATCACAGCTTACAATAGTTTTCCCCTTCCTCTCCACCCATTAATTCCTCTTTCATCTTGTTAAGGAGATCTGTGAATACCTGTCTCTTCACTCAGTCTTTGGCAAAGGAGAACGAGATCCCAGCTTCATTCAACCTGGCCTATCACACTTGCCACTTTTTCTTTATATTTTATGTTTTATTGATTTTATTGTAAATTTTCTGATTGTTGTAAGTCGCTAAGAATTGTTGAGACTCAAGCGGCATACATGTTTTAAAGCAACAATAATAAGCCAGCTCCCAATGAAATGCTACCAGGACATAGTTGTAAGTTTGCTTGGTCTGAAGATCATGAGAGCTGTGTCAGAGGTTCGACCACACTGGACAGGTCTCATCAGAGGAGTCAGATGAAGACAGCGTCTCCCGTAAATAATATGGTAAGATGTAACATATAGAAACCTACAGAAGATTGGTCATCGCCTGGATCAACAAGGACTGTACTAGATTTTGGAGATCCTGCACATGTGGTGTGAAGTGGACTATAGGATTCAGGTCACTACTTGAGCAATTAGAGCCAACAGCTCCCAGACTACTTCAACAACATATCTGTTGAAAATATACAAAGACTTAATAAATCAAGTCCAATGAGAAAAGGAGATATGAAAAGAATGCACCAATTCTGGAAAGAGTAACATCCAAAATCAGAAGTAGCAGAACAGAGGATAGCAGATTACTATAGATCTGTCAGCAGCAGAAAAAGCCAGCATTGTCCCGGTGCCTGGAGGCCGTGCGAGTCTGCATGGGGAGGAACAGGTTTCGTCTCAACCCGTCCAAGACCGAGTGGCTGTGGTTTCCGGCGTCACGTCATAGCCAGTTGGTTCCATCTCTGGCTATCGGGGGTGAGTCATTAGCCCCTGCGGAGAGGGCCCGCAACCTGGGCGTCCTCCTGGATGCTCGGCTGTCTTTAGACGATCATGTGACGGCCGTGGCCAGGGGGGCTTTTCATCAGGCTCGCCTGATATGCCAGTTGCGCCCCTTTCTGGATCGGGACGCCCTACGCACAGTCACTCAAGCCCTCGTTGTTTCCCGCCTGGACTATTGCAATGCTCTCTACATGGGGCTCCCCTNGGCGTAGTTTGATTATGTTTCAGTGGGGGTTTTTGTATGGGTGTGTTTTTAGAACAGGCCTGTTATTTAATTCGATTTTAGAACAGAAACTATTTATTTATTATCGTGGTTTTTAGTATCGCCTGTTCACCGCCCTGAGTCCCGTAAGGGAGATAGGGCGGTATATAAATTTAATAAATAAATAAATAAATAAATAAATTGCTATTGAGCCATTCTCATTCCCAAACCAGGGACCCTCTACTCTACTTTCTCCTCAGAAAGAACAAAATCCTCTATCTGAAAAAAAAAGTGGAATTGAAACAAATAACTGAGCATATAGAATGCACAAAAATGACAGAAAGGAAACCACACAAATAGCAGAGGGACAAAAGATCAGTTTCTAATTGTCAAGATGATTTTAGAAAAGTGTTACGAGAAGGAAGACTAGCTTGAACATAGCTTGGATTAATTAAGTTCAACTCCCTGCCACATGACTGGAAAATCAAATGCCTATAAATAATAGGAGTCAGTAATAACATCAGAATCTTTGTGCAAAGATCAATGGCACAATAGAAGACACAGTTGCTGGTCAACTGGTGATAGACTGTACAGGTTACTATCAGGAGAGAAATCTTCATGGAGACTTTCACCACAACTCTTTGTCACAGTACTAATTACTCCGTCAACGATACTGAACCATTCAGGACATGGCTATTAAACATAAAATAATATGCCAGGCTATACCATCTCCTTTACATAGATGATCTGAAACTATATGGAAAAACACCACCTGAAATGGAATAGCTGTCCGTTTATAGCCAAGATAGTACAAAATAATTTGGACTAGAAAAATGTACCATCTTTACCACCAACAGAGGAAAATGATGAAAACTGAAGGAATCAAGCTGCCCTATGGAAGTAACATCACAAATCTGGATGAAGAAGATCAATACAAATACCTAGGCATCCTTCAGGCTGACAACATCAAGTGCACTGAAGTCCAGATGAAGGTTAGAAGTGAATAAATAAGCAAGTGAAGAAGATCTTAAATTCAAACTCAGTGGAAGAAATATCATCAAGTCAATTAACACCTGGATATATCAGTTATAAGGTATCTGAATATAAAGACCAGAAGACAATGAATCATTCTTTTCATCCACCCAGTGATGTTGACAGACTCAATATCTGTCAATTTACTAAGAAGCATAGATGGGTATGGAATGTTGCAAGTACACCAAGATAATTGAAGAAGAAAAAGAGGTATTGGAAGAATATGTGAAGGATAGTGAAGAAGATGCATTAAAGCTAGTATACCTGGTGGGCTTACTGAATTGGGGAGAGACCAAAATGCCCTATAAGAAAGATCAAATAAAGACTAAAAAAAAAAAAGACATGGCAACTCAAAGTATTACATGGCCAGTACATTAAAAAAAACAGGCAAAGTAGATAATAAGACCTGGCAAATGTATGTAAAGCCAGAATTGAGAAGACAGCAACAATTGGCAAATGCTGTTTATGCAAAGAAGCTGAAGAAACAGTGGACCACTTAGTTAGCCACTGTAAGGAAATCACATGTACTGATGAAAAATAAAGGCATAACAAAGTAGTAACAATGGTGCATTGGAATATCTGAAGAAATACCACTTGCCTGTATGCAAAAATTGGTGGGATTACAAAACAGACCAAGTAATAAAAAATGAAGAAGATAAAGTGTCTGGGATTTTAGAATTCAAGCAGACAAGCAACTGCAACACAACACCCCACACTTAACAATTGGTGATACCTGTAAGAAAGACAAAAAAAAAATTTGGAAAGTGGACATTGCAATATCTGGAGACAGCAGAATAGAAGAGAAAGGACTGGAAAAAAATCCCAAAATAGAAAAACCTGCAAACAAAAGTAGAATAACTATAGCAAAAGAAAGCAAAGATACTACCAATAGTAATAGTGCTTTAGGTGCAATCACAAAATATCTGGAA